GAAGATCTGAAGGAAGATTCAAGCGCGTTCAAGCCCAAAACTGACGTTCAATCCGGAAACAAGCTGCCAAGCCTCCGAATTACGTTATTGAAGTCAGCACCGACGTAAAGAAGATCAAAATCAACTTTGCGGCGAAGACCAAGGAATCGTGTTCATCACGTTCTTGGGAAATCACAACGTTCGATTCGAGATCAAGCTGTCAAGCCCTCGAAGAAACGTTACTTAAATCCAAATTCAAGACTGACGGAGACCAAACTGAAGATTAGTCTCCAAAAGTCTCATATCCATTTGAAGATTGTTCTTGAAGAAATTAATCAGAGGAATAATAGAGATTTGTAATCCACTATATTTCTTTTGATCCGTTGAAAATTCATTTGTACGAAGTTCTCGTGTTTATTAATTCAATAATACGAAATTTTGCGTTACAAATTTCTGGCACGCCCGGTGGGACCATCTCTACCTCTCATCTCTTTTCTTCAAGACTAAGTGCAACGATGACACCTCCCAAGTCAACTTCTTCAAGTTCTGCAAGTGAAAGTATTGGTGTCGTAACCAGAAGTATGGCAAAGAACAAGAGCGTATCTCTGGAAGGAATTTCTCACCAAGTTGAGGAAAATCGGCCGCCTTTGATGAACCAAGAGGAAGATCTGAGGGACGATGTTTCATCAACACCTTTCTCAACGGAGGCACATGTTATGATGACGAATGCATCAACCATTGAAGAGCAACTTGCAGCCATGGCAAAAACAATGGAAACGCTGATGAAACATGTCCAAAATCAGGACTCCACAATTTTAAAGTTGCTGGAAAGGGTCGATAAAGCGGAGACTAGCCGTGCTGGGGGCAAGCAAGGCGAAAGACACGAGGATGAAGAAGAAACTTCTGAAGAAGATGAAGTGAAACAAACTGAAAAAGAGAAGTCTTCGTCAGAAATCCACGTTTCTTCAAGTGGACACATACCAGTTGACCAACTCAAAGAGTTCATCATGGGAACCATCAAGGACAAATTTGATGGAGGCTCCAAGTCATCTTTGACTTATTCAAAGCCATACACCCAAAGAATTGATAGTTTGAAGATGCCTACTGGATATCAACCACCCAAATTCCAACAGTTCGATGGTAAAGGTAGCCTGAAACAGCACATAGCTCACTTCATTGAGACTTGCAATGATGCTGGAACATATGGAGATCGTCTAGTGAAGCAGTTTGTTCGATCATTGAAGGGAAATGCATTCGAGTGGT